CAGAAGTGTCTTTTCCTGGTTTTTAAGGCTGCATTAAAATAAAGTGGTCATTTTCTGATTTTCTAGCTTATCGATTTTATTTTGCTTTTACCTATTACTGATTGTCTAAAACATAATTGTGTACATTTGTTGTGTGAAAACAATAGCCAACCCCTCCAATATCGTTACAATATCGACTCATTGAGGTATTTGATCAGAACTATTGTGAGATGTGATTTTTTTCATATGGCTCAGCCCTTAATACCAGCCTTGTCTTCATCTAAAACATTGCGTAAGCATTATTGCAGTACACTAGAAACCAGAAATACTTTAAATATTTTCCCATGTGTGTGTTTCCTTTTGTGTACGGGTTGCAATGATTTATGTTGTCTGTTGCTTGTTTCTTCTTTGCACTGGAACTGATCTACCATGCTGAAACAACACATTACCACCAACTATGTTGCATGGAAGAATAATAACATATCTTGTATTTCTAGGAGGAAAGTTGCGTGACTCTATACCTGATCCGATCTTGATGAGTCCGTTGTGTTGGATGAAGATGGTGTCACAGGTCAGGTTGCCATGGATGATGGGAGGGTCACACGAGTGGAGATAACTGAAGAAAAAAAACATCCACAAATACAGACTTCATTCGGAAGGGAATGGCTTGTTTTTATTGTGAGTGCATTTTTCATCAAATTTAACAGAATGTCTGAAAAGGTGAGACCAACCTGAGAGCAGACAGGATCTGTGTGCACCATCTCTTCCAAGCCTGTAGGACCATACACCTTATCAGAGCTCTTACTAGCTGCTTTCCAATACGGAGTAACTATTACTTACATAAGTGATTTCATACACAGGATGTTTACAAACTCTTTCTTCAATTTGCCAACAGCCAATTGCTAATTAATGCGTAAATTAATAAACTATTCATCCTCGCTTTGGAAAGCTTGAATCTACTCAATGCTGTGATAAAAAGGGTCAGACTTTCATAGACCGTTATTCTATTTAATTCTAATTTACATACAATCAGTTATTACCTTTTCATTCATGGTTTTATGATTCTTCTTTGTCTTCTTTAGAAACTGTTTCAAGCTTCCTGATGACATGTATTCAGTGATGAAAATCACCTGAGGGAGAGGAAGAAATTAGGGGAAACTTCATGTGCAGACATCGTTCAAATAGAAAGAAAAAAATACATTTTTCGAAAATGATGATTTTATTTATGAAGACTGATAAAAGTATCAATAACCAGCTGAGGTCTGAGACTCACCCTCGCCCGGTTCTCTTTGGTGTCGGCCCAGTACTTGTGAAACTTGACGATATTTGCATGTTCCAAATGGATCAGTTTATCAAATACTGCCTTTACTTTCTCCTAAACACACGGGAAATACAAAATATGATCAATTATATAATATGTTATAACACTTATTAATAGACACATTCTGACTCTTCTGTTCCTCATTGGTGAGTAATATGTCTGAAACAACCATTCATGTGAACAAACTATAAATAGAATGTTGTCATATAGTTTTGACCTTCTTCCAATGGGTGGCCAAACCCTCGTCTCACTCAGGATGTGATATTAAACATAATACATACATGCAAAAAAAACAAAAAGAAAAGGACCCGGCAACTGTTTTGATGATTGAGAAATTGTTGAAGTCATCTTTTAAGCATAAATGCCAAACACTGCCCAGTTCCAGCTTCTCAAATGTGAGGATTTGATGCTGGTCTTTTCATATTTGATAGTAGATGAAATATTATTGGGTTTTGGACTGTTGGTCTGTTTTTACATTTTCTAGACTGAATGACTAATCAAGAAAAGAATTGGGAGATTGATCGATGATGAAAATAATATATTTCTGCAACTCTTTAATACACGATGCGAGCGATACTGTGACAGTAGTAGAATGTACGCAGATTATCATGTTTACAAACCTGGACAGTCTATAACTGCTTTATAACAATGGGACTTTTTTACTTAACTCAACACTTTATTGTAAAGAAGCTCCTTAAATGCCAACAATCATACACCACTGACTTCCCTAATTCATGATCCTTACATTATGTCAATACTATTATGAATCAAAGTTACACGATTGATCTGTAAGGCAGGGAACCTCTTAAACTCCACTGGCATTGCTTGACACTGGTTTTTCCACATTGCAGACCAAGAGCTGCGTCATTCTCACCACTATAACGTGTTCGTGAACACCACAGGAAAATAAGTTTTACCTAATTTATCTTAATACTTTTCATCCTGTATACGTGCATGAACTAATGAGGCACAAAAATGTTCTCTTCCCTTTTATACGTTTTGGGGTGAAATCACAACCACACTTTAGCAAGTATTTTTAACGGTTGTATTCCAACATACTGTAACACTGACTCACCTCAAGCTGTTTGAAGTTCTTCCTCTCTGAAATCATGACTTCGTTCCATACTACCTCTACCCCTTCCTCTGTGTCCATGGCCAAGTATGCATCATCTATCCCTGGGACATTACGCTGATTCACCTACAGTAGAAATGAACAGAAAATAGCTTATTAGATAATATATTTCTGTAGTGACATGAAATACAAGACACAGAAACAGTTTACATCAAGTTAACAGAAAAACTTGAATAGAAAACAGTCAATACCATCACCCTCCTGTTTCAGCTGACGCAGTGTAGAAATACTTGTGCTGTTAACCATAGCTTCTGCATATGAACACTGAACAAAGATATGCTTTTTGAAATTAACTCCTATCAGATGAAGTAAAGGTTTGAAATACTACTGAACCTGATCAACCACAAAAATACCAATTTGTAAGGAGCAAACCCGTTTTTTTCATACTAAAATCTATTGATAAGTTTGCTGTAAAAAGTCATAAGAGTTCACATTCAGAATATAAATTTGCTTGTTTTTGTCTCACTTAAATGTAATCTAAAATGTAATGCAGATCTAAGATCTACATCGCAATATTACTGCATCTTTTATTCCAGTCTGGTAAACAGTCAAGGGCCAAAAGTAATTTTGAATTTTGATTTGTGCAGAGACATGCGATATGTCTCACAATAACTATTACCTTCCAGATGGTTTGAACAGTAATAATTAGTCCATGATTTTCAGTCGATACCATCAAAGCACAGCCCTCTGGCCGCTCTTACCTCCTCTCTGCGTTTCTGCCAGCGGCCGCAGGGACTCTCTTCCAGAATGTCTGACTCATCTTCACTCTCGTCCTCATCCTCCGTTGCTGTGGTGGCTGGAGGTTGTATGCAGGCCACAGGCGAAGAGACAGATGCTCCACCTTCTACCTGTTGAACATTACTGGACATGTGCACTGCTGGGACCTCTGGCTTGTTTCCCTCTGTACCTGGAGCTCCTACCTCATGTGCCTCCAACATCATGACACAACTTGTATGCTTGCTCCTGTTCCTGGGCTGAAACAAGTTCTATGAAGCCTCTTTCTTGCTTTCTCCTCTCTGTTTGAGCTGCTCACACGTCCATTTTATTCTCTGGCCTGGCTTTTAGAGCTCAAGGAGGGGGGGGTCTGTAAACAAATGACACATGCTTAGATTTGTAGCCTTTGGTAATAACATTACAAATATCTTTTCTAACGTAAAGTCGCCCCACCTAGCTATTAATTAACGTCACCTACTGAGAGACGAACTAATCTCATATGCTTTATTGGTAAAGTTAACAGTTACAGGACCCTAAAACATCAGTCAATCAAACGAACTAGCTCCCAACTGTAGTTACTATAACTGTAGATGTGTGTTGCTAATGTCAGACGTTAGCTTAGAGAAGTTCAGCCTCCCAGTCCTTTGCTAACTTTCCCTCGGCTAACAAGCTAATGACACGTAAATAAACAAACAACTAACATAAAGTTAACGAGCAATATATATAAATCCTACCGTGGAACAGGAAACTACCGCCGAACAAAGAGCCCTGGGTTACATACTGGTGAAAAGGCAGTAAAAGGAGATGCTTTTAGACAAAACATGCTAGCTAGTTCGTCATAAAATATGTTGTTGGGTTTCAAGTCCCTTTCTCTTAGCAGAAGTGGGAGGGGCGGGGCCGCAGTTCAGGAGCGCTTCATTGCGCGCAAAAAACGCAGTGGTGTCGAGTTACTACTCGACCAGCAAAATAAAACACACATGAAGTTTGAATGATACATATTGCATTAAATACAAGGTTAAAACGTACCCTATACTAATAAGATACTGTAGCTAATTCAGTTAATGTTGTACTAACTCCCAATGTACCAAGTGTTCATTCATAACATCATAACCATGTCATATATAATATATTATATTATGAGAGCATTTTATTTGCCCCTTTTAAGCGTAGTTGCAATCTCAACATTTATTAATTTTCTAAAATCAAGCGCACTTGAATAAATAATTTGGATCTGACGGTGAGCCGCAAACAAGATAGTTCACATCCGTAATACTGGTTTGGAGGGAGCGCTTCACTAAACTCAGCCAATGGGGGGCGTTCCTGTGGAGCATGACGGCAACGCCCCCTGCTCTGATTGGCTCGTGTGGGGTACAGGAACGCTCATGTTTTCTTCTTCTCTGCTTCTACAACAGAACTGGTTCCTACTTTCAGACATGAGTTCTGGCTGTTGAGAACACGGAGATGACCATGGTGGCAGTTTAAGCACACGTATTTGGATATTGTGAATTTAGTCATAGCCACCTCGCCGGGCAGCTATACTCGAGATTTGCCTCCAGTGTCTGAGGCAGCTCCGTCTTTTGAAATCATGCTGTGTTACAAAAAAGAGAATTAATTTGACACAGTTAAAACGTTTATCTTCCATTGTTATTACATTATTAACACAACTAGATGTTATAATTGCTTGCTAGAATAGTTTTGTTAAAAGTTAGCAATTTGTTTAATTTGATTAACTGTAAACCCATACATGTTATGTTGTACAGTCATATTACATACACATAACCTATTTAATTAAAAAACTTAAGTTAAGTGGTCCAACCTCGCTTAGGCGAAACCGGAAGTTGTCAGAGGGGAACACTCTCGCCTCGCGTGTAGACCGTTTGTACAGCTGTTTCACGTTGCTAATATTCTGCGCAAGATGTTATCCACGATTTACATGCAAGACAGTGATGCAAACAAGCTCACTGGGAAATAAAGGCATTCTTGGGTGCCTGCCTTTTCCAGAAGAAGGCCCCGGTGTCTCTTCGCCCACTATGCGGAGGCTCAACGACACCGACGCCGTCCGTATATAACGGATATTTTATGGAAGGTAGAGGGAGAGGTTGTTCGGCTGGGGAGAGTCGGGACATCGGCTCTGCTGCTGGGAAGAGGAGCTGGGAAGAGGAGCGTTAGCAAGCTAGCTCGTGACAGTAACAGTAGTAACAGTGACTTCTCCGTACGACGACCCATTGGCTCGGTCATCATGGCTACGAATGGTAACAACGTAACGCCCGGGATGGGAGAGATCATCCAGTTAAACGTCGGTGGGACAAGGTGAGCTTCGTCAACAGGACAGCCCGAATGATGATGGTCATCATTTGGGAAATTTGAGCTCTGGCTACGTAATGTTACGTGTGTGATGATATCTGCATGGCATGGCCGAGCAGCCATGGACTGTACTTTATCATTATTATACTAACTACTCCGTTTATTGATAGCTCTCTCGCTCTCCCCTACACACACACACACACACACACACACACACACACACACACACACACAGTCATTCACTGACCCTAGTGTTTGTAATAAATACGGTATTGTGTCTTTATACTTTAGGTTCAGCACCTCCAGGCAGACTCTGATGTGGATCCCAGACTCTTTCTTCTCAAGGTTGGGTTTAATGTTGTCAGCATTTGGACTCTCTTGGAAAAACAGATGATGCATTAAATTGATCGAGACTGCTTGTACAAGATTAGATATTTGAAGAATCAATTGTAAGTGTTAGCAAATTAAGTGCAGAGTGTGAGAGTATATGCAACATTTGGCAAAGATGGAACTGAATCTGTCTGCATAACCGCAAGAGGTGTTTTCATATACTATACACATTTTAAAGCAGACTTGAACCTGACTAACATGGGACTCAAATGGAGTAGTACTCGTACTATTGCTACAGCACGTAGCAGTTCCAGCAGAAACAGGTCAAAGAGTCAGTGAGTGTGCTATGCTGCTGTTGCAACCTGTTAAAAACAAAAATTTGTATTACATAATTAATGTAGAGAAGCGGTAGTCCACTATCTGGCCTCTGTCTTGCTTCATACATCTACCATTCTGGGGATTGGAAGACGGTGAGTTATTTAGGTGTGAGGGGACCCCACTGTTGGGCTGGGCAAATACCACAGTCGGGAACAAACTCAAACACTGGACAGTGAGCTCACAGTTTGACAACAGCTGACCAAGTAGTGCTAAATGCCCGTCCCTCTGTCTGCCAGTGCACCTGTCAGTCTCTCTGGCCCCAGTTGTCTGCAGTGTGTAGTCAATATGAAGTCATTCTTCATACACACTTGCAGCACATGCTGATGCAGCACTAATCTGTAGTTCAGAGTCAACAGGTAAGAGTCCCTCTGTGTGTTGACTTCAGGTAGTGGTAACACTGCTGTTAAGTGTAAATGGAGAGGTCTGTGGGTTAACTGGAGCACTGTGTGTGTGTGTGTGTGTGTGTGTGTTTTCCAGTTTGCTGAGTGGAAGGATATCCACTCTTCGGGATGAAACTGGAGCTGTGAGTATAGCCTTTGTTGTTTCTTAATGTAAAACTAGGACAGCATCCGCACGCCACATCTGAAAACACTTCCAGCAGATAGGACCTGACATTTGTTCTGTTGTATAAACATATCAAATATGTCATGAAACCATTTGAGACCATATTAGAGAAATTCTGTGGCCCACAGTCAATGTTTCATTGTTGACGTTCTTCCAGTTTCCTATTGTTAGATAATGTTCTGTTAACATGATGATTGAAAACAATTATTTTACACTTTCAGATATTTATTGACAGAGACCCCACAGCTTTTGCACCGATTTTGAATTTCCTCCGAACCAAAGAATTGGACCTGCGGTAAGGCGTCATGACACGATGTTTATTTTTGGAAGACATTGTGTTGAGTCTGACTGAATACTTCTGCTGCTTGTTATTTTCTCTGTAGGGGTGTCAACATCAGCATCCTACGACATGAAGCCGAGTTCTATGGAATCACTCCTTTAGGTGTGTTGCTTTACACAGTTTTTGGAGGAAATGGAAGCAGGCAGCCTTGTTCTTAGCACAAATAGTGATACGTACAGTATAGACATTATGGAAACCTTATAATGTACCTGCCTTATATCAATCTTCTGGGTACAGTTTGCACAGCTAAGTACAAGTGACCTGTCGTTAAAGCGTTAAAGGGAAATGTTGACAACTTGACCAATGTCAAAACCGTTTGTTCCACGTACTCTATAATATGGTTTTACTTCCTGTTTCAGGGTTTACTTCCCTTCATTGTCTGTACTTGAGTGGGAAAGTTACCTTTGAGAAAACTGATCACCTGCTTAAAATCCTAATATGCTCAGCAATACATACACAATGCAAAGTAATTACATACAATTTAGTTTACAGTGGAGTTCTTCAACTCCGAGACATAATCAGTCATGTCAGGAAGAAATAGAGTCTGAGGTTAAAATCCACAAAACTTAAGGAGGATTTATTTAACACCAATAATGACAAAACTCTAATATACTATGCAAATATAATCATCCATTACATGCTCCTAATTGTAGTCACTTAATTTTGAAATAATATCTATCATGTTACTCTGGTCATCATGGGCTCACTGAAGTGCGTGTGCGCGCGCGTGTGTGTGTGTGTGTGTGTACCTGTGCATGTGTGCAGTGCGCCGCCTGCTGCTGTGTGAGGAACTGGACCGCTCATCGTGTGGTAGCGTTCTCTTCCACGGTTACCTGCCGCCGCCAGGTAAAGACGTGACACTGAGTGGTTCAGAATATGGACTGGACATACAGTAAACCAATTAACTGTCAGCAAAATGTTTAAACTTATGTTCCAAAAACAGTTGCAGGAAGGAAACAACCTGTTTTAAAGTCACAGAATACAATAAAAACACAACATTTCTATTCCTAAATGTCTGTTACATTGTCTGTAATGTTCCTTGACAGTCATCCCCGCCCGTAAATCCATCCCTGCCCCGGCAGCCTCTTGCCCCTCCTCTGATGAGCGGCCGGGTCCAGGTGGAGCGGAGGGCTTCACCCGTGTTGGTCCCCTTTCTCACCCTTCCCTCTCTGGCTCACCTGGAATAGACGACAACCACAAACTGGGTGAGAAAACCTGGAGCAGCCGTAGGAAGTGTGTCCGATTGTAATAGACCAGTAATGGTGATAATCTGTAGATTATATATATGCCTACAGCTATTGAGCCAGTCTTCCATTTCAGCAACATTCAGCAACGTCTCTTATTTTGACAGTGACCCCGCTACACTCTCTGCCTTCTACATACGTTCTCTTCCTCTACTGCACATATCTGAGTTTGTCTGTTTTCTATAACAGTGAGAGAGTACAGTTTATGTATTGTTTATGCTCGTCCACATGTGCGTGTTTTGTCTGTGAGTGCGCATTAATGCTGGAGCTAATGTGACCCGACACATCCTTTTAGTGCGCTGACTGAGGTAGCCTCGTTTGCCGTCGGCCTACTCTCTGCTGAGGATGACATCACAGAATATAGTTAGCTACAATAAAGAGTGTGTGTGCCCTGGACTGATGCAGAAGGATTAGGGATGGCTGTTTCATACCGTGCAGTACTTTGAAGTAAACATCGCTGATTCTTGCCTAATTCTCGACCTTTGAATCACTGCCAACATTACCATTATATTCAGATAATGACAAATAATGGAGTGAAAACTAAAAGGGACATTCAGTGTGATTATCAGGCTATGAAAGTTGTGTGTTCATTTCTATGTTTTGCGTGTGTGCAGGTCCTGTGGTTGACCCCAGGAAGGTGCTGATTATAGCGGGACACCACAACTGGATTGTAGCAGCTTACGCACACTTTGTCATCTGCTACAGGTAATTCTGCTACAACGTGGTTGGTTTAAACATTTCTCATCCACTCTATAGTCCATAAGGGGGAGACAGTAAATTATTTATGATGGGAAGATGGAGTCATTATCTGTTGTGTCTCACATTTCTCACACAATGCTTTTATACCTGTACCAGTTCAGTACACACGCTGTCACCTTTGGCTCTATACACGTTCGATCAAATTAGAGAACTGTTTATCTTTATTAAAACTGACAGACAAGTTGAGAATAAAATGTAATTTGGTTTGTATTGGTTGTTATGCAAGCTTGTGGTAATGAAAGCTGACTTTTTTTTCATCCTACGCATGTCCAACTTTTTCAAAACAGGCCTATTAGTTCATAACTGTTCTTGTCATATAAAGCATAAAAGGCTTTTAATTTGGGTAAGAATAAAAGCAGATGTTGATGTTTGTCTCTGTGTGTGATCTCGCTACAGGATAAAGGAATCTTCTGGATGGCAGCAGGTGTTTTCCTCCCCTTACCTGGACTGGACCATTGAACGCATCGCGCTTAATGCCAAGGTGGTGGGTGGCCCGCACGGAGACAAGGACAAGATGGTGGCCGCCTCCTCTGAGAGCAACATCATCCTCTGGAGCATCCAAGACGGAGGCAGTGGAAATGAGATAGGTAAACACACCAATAGTGTGTCCCAATGGAATGCATACTGCATGCAACAGTATGTACTTTTTAAGGGCAGCTGCAGAACTTACTAAAAGTACAAATAAAAAGTTTGCAATTTGGAACGCAGTTACTGTATGCTTGTGTCTGCAGACCACCTTGCTAATTTGTGACCACCTTTTGACTTCCTGCCATCTCTGTGACTCAGCCTTCACAGCCCCACAATCTCACATTAACTCATTCCTCTCCCCACCACCTCAGGTGTATTCAGTCTCGGCGTACCTGTGGATGATCTATTCTTTATTGGGAACCAGCTGGTGGCTACAAGCCATACAGGGAAGGTCGGGGTGTGGAATGCTGTCACACAGCACTGGCAGGTAGGTGTGTTTGTATGGGTGAGTAGTAGAGAGAGGTGAGTGTTTGATTCTACTCCATGTTTGTGTTTTATTATTTTCCTGAGTGAAGGAACATCACAGGAAGATTATGGGGCCTCAATGAGTATTCATTCAAAATCTGACCGTTCATTGAAGTATGTGCAGCATGTCTGCTTTCAGTTGAGGGATTGTGACTGCACAGATTAACACTGCACTGATTGTGAGTTCACTTTTTTGTGTGTGTGTATGTTCAAGGTTCAAGATGTGGTTCCTATCACCAGCTGTGACACAGCCGGGTCCTTCCTACTACTGGGCTGCAACAATGGGTCCATCTACTACATAGGTACACGCATCTTCATGCAAACACAAACGTGTGTACACACGTGGGGTCCCATCTTCTGTCTGGCTCTCAATTTATTGGATGTTTGGGAAGTTAATGAAGTGACTTGTTTGATTGTCGCTCATAAAATGCTATTTAAAAAGTACCTTAGAGATTTGTTTCAGTAATTCAGCGACAGTCATTTTTATCTAAATGATTCTGAGACAATGTGGAGATTAGATACTGGATCTAGATTTCACATTAACATTTTGTCTTCTTCTTTTCAGACATGCAAAAGTTTCCACTGAGGATGAAGGATAATGATCTTCTAGTGACAGAGCTTTATCACGACCCTTCAAACGATGCGATCACTGCGCTGTCAGTCTACCTCACACCTAAAACCAGTCAGTGCACCAGTTTTTCTCCTCAAAAAATAATCAGAAAAATGTTATTCCTGCATATGCTTGTCCGTTTCTTTTCATATTGCCCCCCCCCCCCCCCCCCCCCCCCTCCCTCCCTCCTCTCTCTACTTTCTCAGGTGTGAGTGGGAACTGGATAGAGATAGCCTATGGGACTAGCAGCGGTGCAGTGAGAGTGATTGTGCAACACCCGGAGACAGTGGGATCGGGCCCACAGCTCTTTCAGACATTCACTGTCCACAGGAGCCCGGTGACAAAGATCATGCTGTCTGAGAAACATCTGGTATCAGGTGAGGAAGGTGTCACAGGTAGGAGGATTACCCCATGACCACAGTGCCTACGTGAGCAGTGTGTGACTGCTGCCTCACTAACCCTTTTCTGTCTAAAATAAAAATAAATGATGGGTGTATACTTGTGATTGATATCTTGTGTTGTTTTTCCGCGTGTGTCAGTGTGTGCCGACAACAACCACGTTCGGACGTGGACGGTGACCCGATTCAGAGGAATGATCTCCACCCAGCCAGGCTCCACCCCTCTGGCTTCCTTCAAAATACTGTCCCTGGAGGAGACGGAGAGCCATGGGAGCTACAGCTCTGGGAATGATATTGGTGAGAGTTAAGGAGAGAAGAGAAGAAGGCAATATTGATTAATGTGAGGGAAGGATAGATGCATTTATAAGGAGAAAGAGAGGCATTGTCTGATGACATTAGTAGTAACGGGTGGATCTGATCTTTGCATTGATCTTTGGCAACATGAATTAAACAGCTACCAGTCTATCAGCCTCAAAGAGACACAAAAGTGGACACATCACTTACCAGAGACAAATCGAGCGCTAATGTTGTTTTGAATCCGGATCTCAGATTGCAGGCTGGTGTGTAAAGATGCAGTGTGTTTTCTGCTCCCAGGGCCATTTGGAGAGAGAGACGATCAGCAGGTTTTCATACAGAAGGTGATCCCCATCACCAACAAACTGTTTATAAGGCTCTCATCTACTGGAAAGAGGTATCATATTCACCATCTGTCTTTCCCTTTCACCTTTGCTCTTCTGGCTTTTAGCTAACTTTGTCTTTTATTGTCAAACTGGGAGGAGGAAGGATGTTTCATCTCACTAAGTTGCTTTCTTTCCCATTGTAATTGAACTTATTTGTAAGATTTTGGTACTTCGGTTTGACCCTGCTACATGCTCATGTGTGTGTGTGTGTGTTTGTCAGGATCTGTGAAGTGCAGTCGGTGGATGTGACCACCATCTCTTGCTTTATGGTGAGGGAGTGTGAGGGTTCAAGCCGGATGGGCTCGCGACCTCGGCGCTATCTGTTCACTGGTCATGGCAACGGCAGCATCCAAATGTGGGACCTGACCACTGCGATGGACACCGCTAATAAAGGAGAGGAGAGGAAGAGAGAGGGTGAGGAGATAGGGGGAGGAAGAGGGGAGGCTGAGAGAGACAGCGAACAGTGGACGGCAGCATTGTGTGTGTGTCTAATATTCTGAATATTCTACATTGGACTACTCCATCCAGGATTAAATGTAATTATTTACTTTGAACTACTGTATGTGTGTGCTATGAAGCTGCTCTTGTGTTTGACAGATGCAGGTGGGCCTACAGAGGAGGAGCTACTGCAGCTGTTGGACCAGTGCGATCTGAGCACCTCCCGTTGTGCTACACCAAACATTAGCCCTGCCCCCTCCATGCTGCACCACACACGCCTCAGAGAGTCCTGCTCGAGGTCAGAGAGACAGTTCACACACACACCACATTAAAGACACAAATGTAAAAAATGGAAACAATTAACTACACCAACCCTTCATCTTCCTAATTCTCACTACAGATACATCTGCACGCACATTTATACACAAAATAAGTAACTGCATGTCTCAATAGCACAGACATAAATAACCTCCCTTGTACCAATATGCACTTTGTTTCTTTTCTTTCTGTCAGTCTTCAGTTACAGGCTCAGGAGCCCATTTCTGAGAGCCAGGCTACTTACGGAGCGGTGCGGCCCTACAGAGAGAGCCCCCTGCTGGCCCGTGCTCGACGAACAGAGTCCTTCCACAGCTACAGGTGAAGTCATATTTTACATGGCAAATTCATCAAAGGGGCGCTTCACCCATATTACAAAAAAAACAAAACAAAACCAGTAGTGCATTTTTTTATTTGCATCAGGAAGAATGTAAACAGCAGCAACAAAAACACTGGTGAACTCTTGGGGCAGATAACATGATTGGCATATTAACATAACTAATTGGCAACAGGGAAACACTGCCCATCACCTTTGACAGTGTTTTAGCCCCAAGCATCACAGATGCAAACATAAGAGTCCGCATCCCCTCGTCCCTACTTCTGATCCGTGATGACACGATGTAGCCGGGTCTTTGCAACAGTCTGTGACCTCCCGTTGCTGGGTCAGCCCAAGTCCTATTTTAGGCAGGCTGGTTAGTGAATCAGCCCCAGGTACAATCTGGGCCAGCCGAGCTCTTATCTGGGCTCTCTACCCCGGGTGGTCGACTCCACCCTAGGTAGCCGTTGGTCCTGCTGGTCTGGCTGGGTGCTCAGAAGATGCTGTGGGCAGCGATCGTCTCAAGGTCTGCTGCATTTAATTCAATCTCTGCCACATCTTCATGTGCCGATGTCAAATTTGGAAGAAAAAAACAGCACAACAAACAAAAATCCATTCACTTCTATTGTTTTTGGGTGGTGGCAGAAATCTCTGATGGATATCTCTGAAACACAGCATCCCTGTGTGCTATTCTGATAATGATCTGACATGCTATTTGCATGTACGCTGTCCTCGTCTGCATTTTGCTTATGTAACTGACTCCATCCATCTGTCTTTCAACAGAGACTTCCAGAACTTCAGCCTGAGTCGAGGTGTGCTGGACAGCACCGAACAGCACAGCACACAGGGCCCCAGCCACACCCTTGATGTCCGCCGTTCGCTGTGTGACTTTGGGCCCGAGGACAGTGAGAGGAGAGCCACGGCTATGGAGTTCTGGGCTTGCCGAACAGCCAGTTCAAGCTCTCACACAATAATCGGAGCCACGACGACTGTTGGTGCTTCCGGGTCAAAGACGGAAAGCGGTCCAGAGTCTCCACGACAAGCTCCCGACAGCCCGACTCCCGGGGGCGACGTTAGGCGGAAGGTGCACCCACAACCGGAGGAGGGAGAGGGATCGGGGGGAGAAGGAGCGAAGGCGGAGGGAGGTGTGAAGAAGAGGGGAGTACTAGAAGGAGGCTTTCTGGGGAGAAAGAGGGCTCCCCCAGTCCCCCACCTCTCCTCCCTCCCCTCTGGATCTGAAGGCGGTGGCAGCGACTCATCTTCCACTGCCTCCCTCTCCCCAACCAAACTGTCTTCGTCCACCTCACCACGACACAGGAAGCTGGCCCCTGAGATGTCCAATCAGGACAGCAGCCTGTGATGGTGCTCACCACCCTTTTCTTTAGAGGTTAGCGGAATCATCCTGTAGGACCATGAGGGAGATGAGTTCTGGGTATCACAGAAGAGGAGGAATGTGGTTCATGATGTAGCTGGATGAAGGAGCTTCTTGTTTTGGGACTCCACATGAGGACGGGTCTCCTTTGGTTCCTACGCTGAAGAACTTTTATTTAAACCATGCACCTTTTTTTCAGTGGAAGTCATTAGTGTCATACTTTTAACTACAGAAACTATCTGACGCGACGGAGCAGTTACACCATCCCAACGCAAACAGCATCTCAACCAGGGAAAGATTTCATTTTTGATCTTTTAAATGATTTCAAAGTTTTATGACACTTGTAAAATCTGCTGGGCACAACTGGAGCTCCTACGACTCTGTTTCTGTTGGTGTAACAGATGACGGGTGACAGTACCTGTATGTTGGGCCGGGTGTTGTCAAGGGCGTATCGTTGCTGCTGTTTGGTTGAAGCACAAGCAAGTGTTAAGCCAGCGATGTAAAGCTCGTTTCATTAACTCATCGAGGTTCAGGCGAATTAGAATGATTAGAAAAAACAAGCACAGTACTAGTAATAGAACGAGGGTTAATCTATGTAGTGATCGCTTTATCTAGCGAGACCCTTAAACAGACAATGGAGAAAAATGGAATTTACAAAAGGCACAGTTTGTACTTTTATAAAATATTTAAACTGTTTTATTGACGTACAGTCTGATGAGAAATAGTTTGTTCAGAACCTGACGTAAATCAGTCAAGCTTACTTCTACATCTGCTTTTGAACAGAAAGCTAACAGCTGACAATTTCTGTCATTGTCAAAACCATATCAAAAATAATTAAAAGTATTAATTTTACAAAGATACAAAACCAAAAAAAAAAGATGCAAATTCCTACATTTGATATTTGTGTCAATTACCTTGTTTTTTGTGAGTGACCAAACAATTAACCGACTAATCGCTTCAGCATTTCAGATTCGTCAAAAAGGATTCGGCCCCTTTCAAAAACTCACCATCATGTGAAGTATCTCCGACAACATGTGCAATCTGTATCCGAGCCGGAACCTTGGCAGCTACTTGAACCCTCACGTGTATCTACTTCGCTGCAGCCAGAGACTCGATGGTTTCTATTGTTGAAGCAATGACACAAAAAGCCGCAGCTGGCTATTTGAAACGTACCGTTACGAGTTCCAGGCCCATTGCGTTATTAACGTACACTGTAGCAGTAGCATAGTAGCCCCACTGCTCCTCAACAACGCTGAAAGAAGAACCGTCGTGTGTGTGTGTGTGTGTGTGTGTGTGCGTGCGTGCGTGTGTGTGTGTGTGTTCGGACATTCGACTCGTCACAGGCGAACAGGAAATGCACAGGTGAAACACATGCCATTAGTGACGGCTTGTTTCCATCGAGTGTCCCAGTAAGCCATGACAGTGAGCCAGCATGCACACACCCTGGACCCTGAGACCAGCCCCGCTAAATGGCATGCAGATGTTTTTAGTGTCATCAGTACACCTGTGCTTTTACTGCTGTGGACGAGCCAAAATGTCTGCCATCCAATCCAACCGCAGCATTTTGAGGAATTCTCACAAAACATTTGTAGATGTGAGTTTGAAACAATGAACGCTCTGTGGTGTTGTGTGAGAACCTTTTCCTCGATGTCTAAACAGAGAGAAATAATTCATAATTCAGCTAGAAAAAGACAAACTAAATTCAGTCTGTTTTCACAGTGGTGCCTGCGCAAGATCACACTAATTATTATTTATATATATTATTTTTTACAGTATCACAATATAAATACACTCAACTCAATACAAGGACCTGGTAAACTACATCACTTTACTCCTGTTGAACCAGGTTTTTACGTGTCTTTGTTTTGGATGACTGTTGCAGTGCCTTATTTAACTTGTTTGACGGTTATTAGTTTGTGTGTTTTCATTGAAAAGGATTTTGACCAAAGGCTTGTGAAGACTGTGGTGCCACATAACAGACCTGTCCACTCTGGCTTTGGGTAAAACTGAGTCCTGATAGATTCACACCGGACCAAATCAGATTGTACGAGTGGTCACTTGAATCCATTGGCATTACAGTTCATATTAGAGTCTGTTCTATTGTAAATTGTACATAATCTTGACATAGATGAAGAAAGTCCATCTTGGCTATGATATAGTTGTGAAGGTCTAAAAGGACAGCTGAGGGTTAAATGGCAGCAACCTTAATTATTGACTTTGTGAGCTAAACCTGCTTCTTTACTGCTTAACCTCATCACATCCCCCGTGAGAAAACAAGACATCAAGCCAGCCCTTGATCTACGGTACTCATGTAATCACTGTGGGGACAACTGTAAAAAATTGTGACTGTAAAACAAAACAAAAAAAAAGGCAAATATATGAATGTAAATTATAATTTGCCAAATCCAGCAGCTCTATTCCCTTCTTTCAAGTTGTTTTTAGCACACTGCTTATCATTTAAGCATTGTCGGATGAACTGGCCGTGTGGTCCCTGCCTGTACAAAGATGTACATTTTTATACACTTATTAACTGTCTGAAAAGTAGACATACATATTCAAAACAAAATCCTAACGTGGATGCATTGATGTGTGTTGATGTGTGTCGATACTTACACTGTTGTCATTACATATTGTTGATAATCATAAAATGCCTATATTGATATTACCGTGCTTATGGACCTAACTGCATTTGCACTTGCACTATTAAGACGAATACTAAAGTAAATGACTAGTGTTTATTTTATATAGAAATATAAAGTTTAAAGTCTATTTCAGCACATAACTGTCTGTCTGTCTTCTGAAGATCTGTCTGTCCCTCTCTGGCTACGTTTACATGATATTACAGCCAGATTCTAGCGAGCTAAAAAGAATACACATCTGTCTGTTTGAACTGTATATCATTGTTTAACAATATGTATGTGAGCAAAGCTGCATTATGTTATTTCATTTATCAGATGTAACATTGAACCCTTCAGAGCCTCAATGTTCATGCAATTTAAACTACAACTGTGTTCACTAAAACCTCTCAAAACTGGAAACGTTTCCTTTATTTTCAGATTATTACAAAGCTGGAAAGTATATTTTATGTTTTAACACATTGTATAGAACATGAACATTAACTTCACTCAGGTTTGTCCAGGCAAACGTCTTCAACAACATTAAGAGTAACTGAAAACATTAAAGTATTTGGGATCTGAGATGTTTTAATCTAAGTGTGTGGGATGAAAAGAACTTTGACAAGATGAATTTTTAAAAAACAACTCAATGCTCAATGTTAATGCTTTTATAGTTAAAGCAGTTAAACTCACCTTTAAACTCAGACTCAGTATAAAACAGACCTAAACAAAAAGGCTGCGAGTCACAGCTTTTAGATTTCAGCCCATGGTTTGTATGGATAACCTGCCACGGTGCACAATCTCTATTTTGTTTGAGCGTCACAGAGGTGTGTGTGCGTGTGTGAGTCTCCCCAGAGCTTTCATTTCACTAACCTTCCCGTTCAGACAGTCTCCTCTCTGAGACGCCGTCTGTCGTCATCGTGATTTATGAGTTTAATAAAACCCTGTGTGTGTGTGTGTGTGTGTTAGTAGCTCAGGGCCATACTGTCCCTTACAATCACTCCACAAGCTCTCTTTTCACAAGCTCTCCCTCCCTCCACGGCTGACAATAGCTGTGAATGTGGCTGTGAATGTTTTGGAAGTGCCCTTGTCAGACTGGTGTCCTTGAGCGAGGGCACGCTTGTTACTGCCAGTTTGTTAATTTCAAACTTGCCTTGATGTTCCCTTAAGGGACGCAGGAGCAAAACTAAATTACTGCTGCATAGTTTTGATGGAGATACCGGCCCGCTGTGTGTTTGTGCTGGCGGGCACGGCTGTGTGTGGTAACTAAATATCTGTGCAGCTGATGGCACAGCTGTTTTACCAACTCGGCAGAAAAGAACAGCACGTCATCGTCAGCCAGATCACCAACACCAGTCTGAGGCACAGCGGTCTGTTAAGCTTAAGATCTCAGTTGTGTCACAAAGTGTGTTCCTCTCACACATACACACACACACTCACAAAGAAATCGGTTCACTGCTCCTAAAAATTATTTCACTTTCAGAATTGCATTCCTACCACTTTAAATAGATATTTAAACTGCGGCACCATATTAACCTCATCACGGATCAAATATTCATGTTCCACGAGTGGACTTTCTGTCATCATGCATCGATATTATCAAGTTCATGGATTGAATATGGAATTGGTACGTTTGTGTTGCTTTTAAATACTCACATCTCTGCTAACAATGGAGTAAAACAATATTGAACTGCTAGAAGCTGTCTTTGGTTTTAATTCTCTCTTTTTTTTTGATATGAAGGATGCACTCATTTTTTGTGATGTAAAAAAAAGTGGGAAAAAACTGTTGCATAAAACAATATTGTAGGATATACATGATCAAAATATCCTGTCATGAAACTTTACATTGCCGTTTTACACTATAGTACATAAATACTAGATAGATGTTTAAAGATCTTTATAGGAAACAAGAAATGGACAAAAATGTCTGCAGCCAAAGAAGGAATCTGTAACGGAGTCACAGTCGTGCTTAACAGTGTTTGCCTTGAGGACCAGAGTACTGTTCACGACTTGATGTGTTGATGTTTCAAATAGTTTTCAAGTAAAGAAAAGGTAAGAAAACAAGTAGAAAATAATATTTTCTCAACCATTCTTTATAGTTCCTCAGAAAAACAGAAATATTGATCAATGAATCATCTATAAATACAACTTTTACAACAACCATAAATAATACTGCCAGTGTAAAAAAGAAAAGGTTTTTATAACAATACAGTAGGCTTCAACTTTGTACACAAAAACTCAACACTACACAGAAATGCAACATCTTGTTGTCATAAATACTGTTTCTATGATGTTTAACTTGAAAATGATCGGCCCAATCGGTGGAATCCAAATCTAACCAATGTTTCATTGCTGCTATTACACCAAAACAGAACATAGCCGAGATTTATTCTCATTCTTAAACTGATTTCATTCTTGATAATAAAAACTAGGGTCTGGATTCCACTGACAGCTGAACTATCAAACAAAGACATTTAGCTTCACAAGTTGAACAAAGCTTCATTTCATGATTTAAAGTGTACCTCAACAACTGATATGGTAAAAAATAAAATCTCAGATTGGGCTGTCAAGTTACATCACATAATAATCCAAACAATCAGACGACACATCAGTGATTCCCAGCCACATTTTAACACAATAATAAAAAAAACAGTTGGCATTTTTTTGTTGTCATGAAACTAACATCAAGGCCATCAGCTAAAGGACTACTGCTGCTGATAATGTATTTAAAGCTCACTAGGCACTAATTGACTGAAACCGTCGATATTAATGGACGTCTAGAATGCTTTGATTCCAAATAGTGAGAAGCAAACCTGCTATAGCTGATATTTCAACATTTTTTAAATAACTAAACTAAACAATTGGCAAGCAGAGACAGTGACTCATAATACAGTCAAATACGATCTGGTTCTTAATCTGAGAAGGAATTGATCACAGCTGACAGGGTCCATATCTGATTCCTGCCTCTACTCAAGTTAAGACCGTTAGTCCCTACAGGGAGTCACACATGCAGTGGGCTAAGACACCTCTTTTAATATAGTTTGACATGAATGCTGCAGTAAAACAACCACTAGTATCCTGTTTCTCTCAGGTCGCTGGAACTGAACACCATAATTAATTATTAAAACCATAACAGTGCACTTTGGACATAATCAGAACAAGTATTGGTCATCAATGCTGAACATTTCTTTTAACATATTTTCAAGACTTTCTAAATCATTTTTCAAGCATTGTAAGTTGTCTAAATAACTTTCCATACTTTCCAATCCTGTTAGGAGCCCCGTCTTTCCTCAGCTAACACCGAATACCAGGAATGTATATTTTCCAATTTTGGTTTGAAACTAGGTCTGATTTGCGACTGTGATACCTGATTAGACGTGGGGATCTTAAAGATGAGTGTCTGTGAACATGGTTTGCTCCCTTTTCCCAGATGTTAAGGCCTTGATGGCGTCCACAAACTCATCTTCCTCCACGTACTGAAAGAGAACGCATGAGATCACAATTAGTTCTTGAGTAGTCTAAAAAGCCAACAGCATTAAAGATTTGGATATGTCTTTTAGTTTCTTTTCACAGTAACAGTTGGAGTCTTGTATTTTACTCGAACGGCAGTTTCCCACAAACGATTTCTCAGAACCTAAATTCATTCTTTACCTCAGAGTAAATGCAGCTGGTATTCCTGATAGAGCTGTTACTGTAAAACAAAGTCTCACATAATTTAACATAAACATATTCCATCCTCACCAGTCCAGAGTCATGTCCCAGTGGGTTGTCCCAGCTTCCTTCCTCCATCATTAGTGACTTCCTGTCAATCAGCTGACTGACGCTGCGGTGCAGGGAATGCTGGGAGTAGGCCTGGCTGAGGTCTGTTTGGCTGGGGACCCTCAGGACAGACATGGGGCTGAACCGTGAGCTGCTACCGACGATCTTAGTGTCTGTCAGACCCTGAAAAATAGATTTTTTTTTTGTCAGATGGTGATTTAAAAGAGCATTATTACAAATTATATACTTCATATTACTGCAAACCATTTTCCCAGGCGTGCTGTAGTTTTCAATTTAAATGATTTTCATATTTTACTGAAATAAATGGAAACCAATGGCAGCAAGGAACAAACTGCAGTGCAATCTGAAGTAGTATTGTAATAGTGTAAGTTATACATAATCATATCTTTGGTATTATTGTTATACATCAACTAACTCTAGGAAGAAGTGAGGTAAATATATGTATGATTATGTTGCCTATCAACTGGAAACATTGATTTGAAATTCAAATCATTTTTCACACTTAAATATTATATTTGATTTATCGTTTGAATTCGAGTGTTTATCAGCTGTCATTGTCATACCATGAACAATCAACAGGGGGCAGTACTCAGCAAGGATTGGCCCTTTGGACCACAAAGAGAGGGACTGAGTACAAGTATAAACTGGCTTCATGGTTGCTGCTGTGAACTTTGGATATGTCAGATGATTCTATTTGTTGCACATACAAAATCAACACTGTATTTAAGGACAAACCGACAGACTGTACGACATATCTTACCTTTATGATAATTCATCTTATTACACACACACACACACACACACACACACACACACACACACACACACA